TTTCACTCGCAGTTAGGGAATGCAATCCCGCACCAAAATCTGAATCCCGCAAACCTGCGGGATTAAAGCAATCAATCCCGCGGATCCGCAGAATTGCGGGACTGTAAACAAGTCATATATTTGTTCCTAAATAGTACAAAAGGCATTGTACATTTTGCACAGGCCCACAATATATTGATATAGCGTGTATCTTAAACTAGCTGTACATAAATTTGGACACCGATGTATACAGGGTGTTCAAAAAATATATCTAATATTAAATAAACTTAAATTTTATTATAATTCTACTTATTTTATAAATAAAAATATTATTCTGATGTTGAAGTTTTTTTTTTAACTTGTGTTAGTTATCTGCTTTTAGATATTCTCTATATCAATAATTTTTTGGCATATGCAGAATGTACAAAGCTTTTTGTACCATTTAGGACCATACGTATGACTAAAAATGCATATTTTTGAAAAAAACGTCGTATTTTCCTTAAAACAAAAAAAAATAAAAAACCGATCAAATTGTTTATTCTAATTTCAATACAGATTAGTCGTACTTGGTAAAAAATTCTATTTTTTAAAAATTGTAAATTTGCGGTAAAAGATTCTTGACCAAAATTTCACACTCTTATAAAACACCCTGTATACAAGAATTCGCTAAATATATTTTCGAAAACCACATAGCATCTTAATCACAATAGATGCATCTAAAACCTGGTCCAAACCGCATCCTAAAATCTTTTTTAGTTCAAGAGATATTCAACTTTAAATTTACCCTAAAATTTTGCTTGTCCTGATAATTATGTCCGGCAGTTTTTTGACGAAATTGTCCACAAGTACTAGTTAAACGCTTTTTTTCACTTACGCACATACGCCAGAAAGAAATCTAATAATGTTTGTTTCACTTAATGGCCAAGCCTTAAGGAGAATCCCCCGGGTTCCGAGCGTCGACGCATCGGCCCGGAACGAAGCTGTTTTACCTTGATCGAGATCGATATAGAACCCAGTAGTAAAGTGTCGATCCCGCGGATCCCGCACGGTAAATCCCGCAACTTTGATCCCGCGGAATCTCAGAGGGATCCCGCATTTGCGGGATTGCATTCCCTACTCGCAGTGTTACACATTCTGCCATAGATCGGTATCCCATGTTTCATTCAGAATATACTTCCTATGGTTTCTTGTATTGATGACATTATATTGGATTACCATCATAAAATCTTCAGTTTCTGGATAAATGTTTCCCTTGACCAACCATTCTAAAGACGCTCTTTTATTGTTTTTTTTTTCACAGCACTTTTGCTGTGTACGGCCAATGTTCGCGGGGTCTTTATAGACCAACGCGACCATCTGTTGCCAGTATACGTCTCACGGTGTGACAGGTTGCCAGATTGACAGCTTTTTGTGAGATTGCTACAATTTGCTTCGGGTTGCGTATGCCGATAGCCTTAAGATTGCGAGGTAAGTACTTATCTACTAACCCATTACACGATATTATTATAGGATATATTTCCACCTTTTCCAACTGATACACTCTCATTATCTCATCATTTATTTCAGGACTTTCTCCATTCTTGATTTTCCTACATTTTCGTCTGCTGGAATTTGTATATCTATTACTTGCGCCTTTCTTTGCTTCTTATCAAAAACTAAGATGTCTGGTCGATTGTGACTCACCGTCCTATCCGTTGTTATAGCTTTTTATTCTTTATCTAAGGTTATAGCTAGGTCTCATAGGATCTTCCACGATTCGTTTTCTAGTACCGTCTGAGGCTGGTATTTGTAGTATGGGACTTTTGCAGTAAGGAGCCCCGTTTGTAAACGAGAGTTCCTGATGTATTACGCCTGCAACTTGGTTGTGCCTGTGTTATTGTTATTATTATTAATACTATTGCCTTCACTATTATGGAATGCGCTCTTTTTTATATTAATATTTATACCTTTTATTAAATTAATCGAACTTATTCATAACGAGGCACCTTGTATGAAGTAAAAATATATGTAGGTATGCTTTATTATACAGGGTCGCTTTTAGGTAAAATATAGGGTACCGCAAAAAATTAAATATAAAAGTTATAGGGTTTATAAATATCTATTAGCGGGTAATACATTTAAGTATACAGGGTCGGTCATAAAGTCGTGGCACATCAAAGTTTCATTTTTTTAAATGGAACCTCCTGTATATTATTGCATATTTCAGTTCTTCCTTCAATTATAAGCAAAAATCGAAATACACACAATGTACCTCAACCTCATACCAATCGTTTCCGAGTTATTGACTTTTGAAAATATCACTTAAACAATTTGATTTAATTAATTTCGATATGTTCAGTTTTATTTAACAATGCTATGTTGGCGAAACTGTGATAGTTAATAATATTTGACATTGGTTCTCAAGTTAGCATTTATAGATGTATAAAATGAGAGTATAGCAAGTCTGGAAATTACAAAATTTTCGTTTAACATTTCAATTCATTAATTTATGTACATTTTGTATTAAGATTATTGTTTAAAATTGAAGGAAGAATTGAAATAAAAAAAAAGTTTGATGTGACACAACTTTATGACCCTGTATACTTAAATTTACTTGTAGCCCTTAGGAATTTAAAAACCCATTACAACAGTCACACTTTCCGCAGAATGGCATCATTAAATCAGACCAAACACATCGAAATTAGTTAAATCGAATTGTTTAAGTGACAATTTCAAAAGTCAATAAGTCGAAAACGGTTGCTTTGAGCTGTGCTTTGAGGTACATTGTGTGTGGTGTGTGTATTTCGATTTTTGCTTAGAATTGAAGGAAAAATCGAAATATGCAATAGTATACAGGGGATTCTATTTAAAAAAATGAAACTTTGATGTGCCATGACTTTACGAACGACTCTGTATACTTAAATTTATTACTCGCTAATAGATATTTATAAACCCTATAACTTTTATATTTAACATTTTGCCGTACCTCCTATATTTTACCTAATAATCGACCGTTTCCATACATAAACGCTACCCTGTATGTAGCACATCCTGTATTAGCGTCTTTCATGATAATTGATTTGCTTTCAAATCATTTAAAACAAAAAAGGTATTAGAGTTAATGCCTTTGATACGTAGTTAATTTTTATTAATGTTTTTCTCCATGGCGGGAATCGATAAAAAGGAAGCTAATGAAGAATTAAATGACGAGATCGCCGCTAGATTATGAGGAGGTCCTACAGTCCTACATTCTTTAGAACTTGGATATCAAAACACCCATTAAGACAGCCGTAAATCGGTTAAATTTAATAAGTTTCATTGTTACATCATATTTTCTATAAACAAATGAATACTTTTAGTAACCGTTTTTAATATTTAAAATTCTATAGAAGTGTTATTTAAATACTTGTTATTAACTATTCTTTTTTGTTTCAGAGTCTGAAGATATATCGTGGCAGTTTTTTGTCTAACAAACTTATCCACTTAAATGGGAGTCAATAGTTGTAATTTAAGAGCTTGTACTTTCGAGGAGAATCTAGAATGAATCTCCCATTCATCACCTGCGTGTTGTCGAAAGCGTAATTTAAATAGCTAATTTAAAAGTATAATAGAACAAGTTATTTTTCGGTGTACATCAGGTTTTGCACCGCCTCCTTCATCATAGGGTTTTCTAGGTTTTTCTATTCATATATTTACCATAATCGATAGGTTCTTGAGAAGGTTCTCGGCATATTCGTAGCTGGCAAATGTATATTTAATAAAAAATAGGATATGGATTATTATTTTAATTTCCATACAATTCAATCACGATTTGTCGCTCTTGTAGATTTCTTTGGTTTTCTACTTTTAATAATACTGCCGGTATATTGTATCTGGATCATATAGATACTATATTATATATGAAGGGTAAGGAAATAAAATCAACTATGTCGATACAGTAATACTTAATTGAGCACAGTGTTATTGATATTAATAAATAAATGCCTTTATTATCAAAATTTTTTACAATTTGTAGACAAAGGTAAAGTAAACAAACAAAGTAAACAAACAAACAAACAAAAGAGAATACAAAACAATATACAAATAACATTGTCAGTCTTATTGTTTAAAATAAACATTTATAAATGTTTACAATGTTAAAGAATAAAAAAATAAAAATGATATTCAAAAATATTTAGTTAGTTTATAGTAAATATCAATGACTTCTAGATAAATTTATTTCGATGTGATTGGTAAATATAGTAATAGCAAACATTAGATCAGTGTTTACAAGATCAAATTCGATTATCAAAATATAAGTCATTTACGGCGTAGAAAGCGTTGTCTAGTAAATAAGATTTCAATGCTTTGCGAAATGAAGAAAATGATGTTATGGATTTGATTTCAAATGGCAGGAGATTGTGTGCCATTTTAAAAAGATGAAATCTAAGAACTAAACAGGAACAATCCAAGTCGAAACAAAACTCGGATCCGAAAACTCGTAAATATAAATTCAGCTTTATAGAAGCAATACACTAGAAGAGTTTTTAAAAACATTATTTTTTTAATTACTCAGATATCTTGTATAAAATATAAAAAAAATCATTTTCATATACATCAACACCAACATAATCATGACCAAAGTCTTATAGATTGGTTCAAGAAGCGAAAAATAATTAATGTGGCATCAAATTTTGTCAAGATTTAGTCAACTGGGGTTGAATAAATCAGCCCCAGGCAGGCTTCTTTTATAATAAAGTTACTGGTTTTCTTAAGTAACGTATAACGTATAATATATATTTCAATTTTGGTACCTATTTTGACATTTTTTTGTAATACCTTAAATCAAAAAATATAGCTACGCCCATGCTTTTGTGACGACATTTGTTACTTGAACTCAAATAATAATCTGCAATATTTCTGACAAAAACTGATCTATAATAAAAATACATTTCTTAAGGTTATCTTCTATTTTTCTTGGGCACGCAGGTTAAGAGGTTATATCTAACTCTATGGTTTTATCTAACTTAAAATACTTTCTAATATTTCTAATACCTTCTTACCTCTATAAAATGGTTCCCAATAGTACAGTTTTCCTTTGAAAGGTCGATTATTGTATGCGGCACACTGTTCGTATCGAAAATCCTGATCTCCCGCGCAGTCCTGCAAAGGAGCAAAGAAATTAATGAAGGGTTTCGATTGAGATAATTAATTTTATTAGAAAGAGAAAGTTTGAAGGACGTTGATACGCCCGATTCAATTAATTTGTAGGCTTTGTTGTTGACCGAAAATAGAAAGATACGGCCCTTAGCCGCGTGGGGTCCCAGGACCGGATTTACCAATTTATATTCTTCGGTTATTACTGTTAAGTAATCAAAAAAATTAGGTAAATAAGTTCTAAAACACCTACCTTAATTTTTTAAGGCAATCTTGAAGGGTTTATTTTAATAACAATGATAAGCCACTCAACCACAGGAATTATAGTGGAGTGCCCAGGGACTTTTACCTCGGAATTCAATTACTGTGAATGTATTAATAGTTCAGTCATTGGGGATTTTTGCTTGGAAAAAAGTCCGGAAGTTTTGCAACTTTGCAGGTTTATAGGTTTTGCGGTCCCTAACTAAAATCCATAAAATGCACATTTCCAGACCTGCCGCCGGCGCCGCCATCTTGCCAAGATGGCGCCCAAAATCGGTATTTTGTGAGTATCTCGAAAACTGTGCATTCTTCGCGAAAATTTGGGGAGAGTAAAAAAAAGAATAAAATTTTCTATAAAAAAGGTTTTATGAAAATTTTCGCTAAAGTCAACCGTTTAGGCATAAAATCTCAGGAAATTTTACAATTTTGAGTAAAATATGATATATTCTGTATAGTCTATTTTCCGAAATCAAATGTCGATTAGGGTTCAATTTTGTCATAAAACAGTGGCGTATCATTAATTCGCTCATTAATTTATGAATAATTATTTTTAATAATTGAAAATGTGTACTTGTTCCCACACCACCCAAGAGGTAAAGTATATGGCGCGTTTATTTTAACGTGGTCTTTCCGGAGGCCTACTCCACATAATGTGAAACCTGCTGTATTGTGTTTTATAGATAAAATACTAAAGTGTTTACCCATTTTTTTTCGTTGCTTTTAATTTTTTATTTTAGTAATTGTAGTAAATTCTTAATTATTTCCTTCTTAATATTTTTTTTAATAAGTAAATTTATTGAAATAAATAAATCCATTGCATATTATGCACCTATTCTGCTTATATTCTAATCATTAAAATTTTGATTGAAATCGAATTATACAGGGTGGCGCGTCATATGCGACGCGGTTTTTGCAAGGAGAACAAAAGTTTGTATTGAAGTGAAATTTTCTGAGCTTAGGTAAGTCAATTTAAAGTATTTTCTAAAAATATGTAGAGTTGTGGGTGTCCCCAAAAAAAGTTACACATCAAAGTTATGTTTTTTTAATGGAACACCCTATATATTAATTGATTTTTGGATTCTAGTAAAAAAATAAAGATTTGTTTCATTAGAAAATTATATGACTAAAATGTATAGTTTTTGAAATACATTCACCGGCATGAAAAATGGGCACCTTAAAACTTTGATGTATTTTAAAGGTTAATATATTTTATTTTAATGGGTCGATTTTGATGATTTTTTAAACAGTGTGTTGCCAAATTATTTGACTTCTTAGTATCTTTTTCTAAATTAAAATTGAAACTCCCCATCTGGTAATTATACGAGGGAAAACAAAATGTTGATATTTTTTTATGAAAGTTTGAAACACCCTGTGAAATATGCTAAAACAGCAAGAAATTTAAAAATTATTTTATCATCTAGATACATCCTTTCTCGATGGTTTGTTTTTTGGTTCATCTCATTAGCTTTATTTTTGTTGGAAATATTCGGTTTTAAAGAAGGCACTAACATTTTTCGTAATTTTTACATTAAGACCATGCCTTTGCTTTTGGGCCTAGTCAACACATCTAGTAAGTTCTGGTCCCGAAGTAGGCCTTCTTGACATAAGATTTGCTTCATTTAATCTTCTTTTTGTAGTCCGTTAGTTAATATGTACGGTTCTTAAGCGCAATTCATTATCAATTTGAAAAGCTGGCAAACGGCGGTTTCTTAGCGATAAACTTACAATAAGTCGATTGTCTCGATTAGAAGTTCTCATACGAAGATTCCTGGACGTCTATATTGACGTCCTCATGGACATGGTCATAATTCAAAGACCATTTAATATACTCTATGGTATTAAAGGTATTTTTGGAACCAGAATTTTATAGCAAATTCACTAAACTCGAATAAATAAATGATATATATTTGATCACCCTGTATATCTATAAAAATATTTTTGAAATGTGAACTACCATTAAACATATATTTTGTAAAAGGTTTGGAGTGAAAATCTCAAACAGGAATCCTGATACAGGAGTTTTTCCGGAAAACGGAGCCCTCTTGTATGTATGCATTTGTATGTGTGTGTTTATTTAAATACTAAAGTCAAAGCAACGAATTTAAATAGGTAAACTTTGTAATATATCTTATTAACAATACATTGCAAAGAGTTTTATAAAAATTCGTTCACAGTAAATGAATTCCGAGGTTTGTATCTCATAAGGGCTTAAAGCACTCCACTATCAGTTTTATTACCTAGTAAATAGTGTTTTTCTTGTCTTTTATCCAACCAATTTGTTATAATCAATAATAGTTTAATTTACACATTTTTTCAAAACTGCAAAGTTAATAATTCGGAATTATGTATTTGTAGCATACCATGTTATTAGAATTTAAAATAAACCCTTCAGTTGATATAGCCGCTGCTTTATATACAAAAAATAAGACATTTCTTGACATTTTAAGGGTGTCCTTTATTTATTTCTATAATAGAAATCACTACTAATCTGCAACTAAATAAGTGTTTAACAATATTCCGTGGACATAGAACTGCTACGTATTTCTGGAATCAAAAAAAGTTCATTGGACACAATTTACCTCTATTCAAAAGTTCTTTGTTTATCCGAATATACAGGGTGCTACAAATTCGAGGTACGAGCTTAGGTATCTCGGAAACCGTAATAGATACGAAGATGGTATTGAGGCAAAGTTGCGCCTTGGGATGTTCGCCAACTTGCTATCAAAAATGTTTCAAAAATTCCAAGGATTGCTGATTTAAAAAAAAACAGAGTTTTTTGAAAATAAATTTTATTTTTTCCTGTCATTACTTTTTAGAAAATCAAAAAACTTATTGCACATTCTCATAGCCACTTTATCAGGGCTATCTGGTACTATTTTTAGATTTTCAAATTAGCGGCTGTGAAAGAATTCAGTCTCCTGAGTACTACAATATGCCACACTATATTTTTGTTTTGTTTTGGATACTTGAACAACAACAAAACTGTTTAATTATTATCTAAAATAATTTCAAGTCCGACTCTAGTCCGGATTTTTTAATTAACCTGAATATATATCTCATCGCAACAAAGAGTTGTCTAAGATGTCTCTGCTGCAACTTGTTTACTGCGTTCATGTGTCGGCGGTACGGCACCCAGGTTTCGCTTGCTCAAGTCATGATTGTAGAAAACCCTAATTTCCAGAATGCTCTTGAGGCGCTGCTAATCCTGTGCTGAATTTCAGAGTCGATATTGGCCTTTTCCGAAATCAAACTGCCGAGATAATTAAATTCCGCTACATATTCCAACAGTTCATCTCCGATTTTTATAGCATTGTTGTGATCTTCCGGGGGAGTGCACATGATTTTAGTTTTATCGATGTTCAGCTTAAGTCCCAAGGCCTCGTATGCCCATGTATATGTGTTCAACATTTCTTGCAATTGCTGTAACGTATTTGCAACTAGAGCACAGTCATCAGCATATTGAAGTTCTGTGATGAATTTTCTACGTGTTTTTGCCCTGAGTCTTTTTATGTTGAACAGACCGCCGTCGTATCTGTATCTAATGCCCAAACCTCTCTCCTGCAGTTTGCTGTCCACTATAATGGAGAGCGCTGCCATGAATATATTGAATAGGAGAGGCGCTAAGACACATCCCTGCCTAACGCCTGTGTTTGTTAGGAAGGGATCGCTCAGTGATCCATGATATGACACTCTTGATTTGTTGTTGTTATGGAGGCTTTTACACACTGTAAGAAATTTTATGGGTACTCCGAACTTTTTCATAATTGCCCAAAGTGCATCTCTGTTTACAGAGTCGAAGGCTTTTGTTAGATCGATGAATGAAACGTAAAGTTTAGACTGCTGCTCTTTTACTTTTTCCTGTAGTTGCCGGATGGAGAATATGGAATCGACGGTACCGCGGTTGGTGCGAAAACCCGTTTGCGATTCTGGGAGGATTTTTTTCTATATGTGGATAGAGGCGGTTTGACATAATTTTTGCAAGAATTTTTCCTCCGATAGCCAGTAGTGAAATTCCTCGGTAGTTTCCGCAGTCTGATGCACTTCCTTTGTTCTTAAATATATTCACTATATTCGCGTTGCAAAAGTCCTGAGGTACCTCTCCGTTTTCCCATATGACATCAAAGAGAGCCATAAGATGACCAATAAGTTCTTTACTTGCACACTTATAGATTTCCGCCGGAATCGAGAATAAAAATAAAGATATAAATATAGATTTCCGCCGAAAATAGAGGTACAATGTGTCCAACGAACTTATTTTGAAGAAATAGGTAGTAGTTTTATGTCGACGGAATAATGGTATACCTACAACACCCTGTATATTTGTTCAAATTTAATATTACACACATATCAATTTTATTGTTTTTGCTTGCTGGCATTTAGATGAAATATTTGCTATTATTGAAGTTAAAAAGTCTAAATATTATGATTATGCACTTAAGCTTAATGCGGCCCTGTATGACTTAGGTAAGTATTCTTTGGCGTCTTCATAGAAAAGATACATAAAGAACTATTAGTGTTCCATTGTAAAACATGAGTTTTTTACGGGGCTCGTGCTGTTGGGTACTACAATACGTAAATTCTACGAAGAAAGCAATCATATATAATGTGGTCGCTCGTATGATCAATTTACTTTAAATTCGAGTAAGCATTTGAAGTGCGTCAGATAACAGGTTATATTACCGACAGTTGAAGAAAATTATTTGATATTATGATGTCTGAAAATAAATTGAGAATTAATTTTTAAT